ATAAATGAGGATCGGATGTCGTCAACCTTCTTTTCAAAATGGTTAACGAAGTCATCCACAGAGAGGGAGGAGGGAGGAGGTTTCAGCAATAATACACTAGAGCCACAATAAGACTCCTCTGACCAGGGCAGAACACTTGAGAGAATTACAGACAAAAAAATCCAGAAAATCACATTGTATGATTTTTAAGTAATTAATTTGCATTTTATTGCATGACATAAGTATTTGATACATCAGAAAAGCAGAACTTAATATTTGGTACAGAAACCTTTGTTTGCAATTACAGAGATCATACGTTTCCTGTAGGTCTTGACCAGGTTTGCACATACTGCAGCAGGGACTTTGGCCCACTCCTCCATACAGACCTTCTCCAGATCCTTCAGGTTTCGGGGCTGTCGCTGGGCAATACGGACTTTCAGCTCCCTCCAAAGATTTTCTATTGGGTTCAGGTCTGGAGACTGGCTAGGCCACTCCAGGACCTTGGCTAGGCCACTCCAGGTCCTGTCTCTTCTTACGGAGCCACTCCTTAGTTGCCCTGGCTGTGTGTTTCGAGTCATTGTCATGCTGGAAGACCCAGCCACGACCCATCTTCAATACTCTTACTGAGGGAAGGAGGTTGTTGGCCAAGATCTTGCGATACATGGTCCCATCCATCCTCCCCTCAATACGGTGCAGTCGTCCTGTCCCCTTTGCAGAAAAGCTTCCCCAAAGAATGATGTTTCCACCTCCATGCTTCACGGTTGGGATGGTGTTCTTGGGGTTGTACTCATCCTTCTTCTTCCTCCAATAACGGCGAGTGGAGTTTAGACCAAAAAGCTCTATTTTTGTCTCATCAGACCACATGACCTTCTCCCATTCCACCTGTGGATCATCCAGATGGTCATTGGCAAACTTCCGACAGGCCTGGACATGCGCTGGCTTGAGCAGGGGGACCTTGTGTGCGCTGCAGGATTTTAATCCATGACGGCGTAGTGTGTTACTAATGGTTTTCTTTGAGACTGTGGTCCCAGCTCTCTTCAGGTCATTGACCATGTCCTGCCGTGTAGTTCTGGGCTGATCCCTCACCTTCCTCATGATCATTGATGCCCCACGAGTTGAGATCTTGCATGGAGCCCCAGACCGAGGGTGATTGACCGTCATCTTGAACTTCTTCCATTTTCTAATAATTGCGCCAACAGTTGTTGCCATCTCACCTGTAGCCCATCCCAGCCTTGTGCAGGTCTACAATTTTATCCCTGATGTCCTTACACAGCTCTCTGGTCTTGGCCATTGTGGAGAGGTTGGAGTCTGTTTGATTGAGAGTGTGGACAGGTGTCTTTTATACAGGTAACGAGTTCAAACAGGTGCAGTTAATACAGGTAATGAGTGGAGAACAGGAGGGCTTCTTAAATAAAAACTAACAGGTCTGTGAGAGACGGAATTCTTACTGGTTGGTAGGTGATCAAATACTTATGTCATGCAATAAAATGCAAATTAATTATTTAAAAATCATACAATGTGATTTTCTGGATTTTTGTTTTAGATTCCGTCTCTCACAGTTGAAGTGTACCTATGATACAAATTACAGACCTCTACATGCTTTGTAAGTAGGAAAACCTGCAAAATTGGCAGTGTATCAAATACTTGTTCTCCCCACTGTAGGTACAGCAAATCCCCTTATTGTATGGGACACTTTTAAATGTGCCTTTAGAGGCCATGCAATTCAGTACTCATCTCAAAAACAAAAGCAATTTAGGTCAAAAGAGTCCATACTAACAAAGGAAATAGAAGGTCTAACAGAACAGATAGATCGCAATAAAAACTGTAACATGGAGGCTCAGAATAAATTAGAAATTGAGAAACTTATTAAAGAAAGATCAAGTGTAATATATTATAAAATAAAAGCAAACTGGATGGAATAGCATATATTTGCGTTTCAGTCTAAACTGAATCTAATTGTAGGGATTTTTTTTCTATTGATAATGTAAAATTAACAGCCATACAGAAAGACTCATGTGAAAATTAAATCACAGAGGAGGAACGTCTGGACACAATTAAAGACTTTAAGTCCGGGAAAACTCCAGGGTAGGATGGCATACCAGTTGAGGTATACAAAACCTTTTTTGATATACTCAGAGGACCGTTATTAGCATGTTTTAACCACTCCTATGTAAATGGTAGATTATCAGACACTCAAGAAGAAGGTCTGATTTCATAATTACTGAAACAGGATACAAGTGGGAAATATAAAGATCCAGTCCATATAAAAAATTGGAGGCCCCTTACACTTCAATGTTGTGATGCAAAAATTCTAGCAAAATGTATAGCACATAGAATTTAAAAGGTATTGTCGGACATTATTCATCCTAATCAGACAGGTTTTTAACATGGACGATACATTGGAGATAATATAAGGCAAGTACTGGAAACAATAGAACACTATGAAAAATCTGGGAAACCAGGCCTGCTATTCATAACTGACTTCGAAAAGGCATTTGATAAAGTACGACTGGAGTTCATATATAAATGCCTGGAGTATTTCAATTTTGGAGAATCTCTTATAAAATGGGTTAAAATCATGTATAGTAACCCTAGGTGTAAAATAGTCAATAATGGCTATTTCTCCGAAAGTTTTAAACTGTCAAGAGTAAAACAAGGTTGTTCAATATCGGCATATCTATTTATTATGGCCACCGAAATGTTAGCTGTTAAAATCAGATCCAACAATAATATCAAGGGATTAGAAATCCAGGGCTTAAAAACGAAGGTGTCATTGTACACTGATGATTCATGTTTTCTTTTAAATCCACAACTTGAATCCCTCCACAGCCTCATAGAGGATCTAGATACATTTTCTAACTTCTGGATTACGACAAAATTATGATAAATGTACTATTTTACATATTGGATCACTAAAAAATAACAAATTTACATTACCGTGTAGTTTACCAATATAATGGTCTGATGGTGATGTGGATATACTCGGAATACATATCCCAAATGAAATATATGATCTAACTCCAATACATTTTAATAGAAAGTTAGCAAAAATAGATAAGATCTTGCTACCATGGAAAGGTAAATACCTGTCTATTTGTGGAAAAATCACCCTGATTAACTCTTTAGTATTATCCCAGTTTACCTATTTGCTTATGGTCTTGCCTACGCCTAGCAAACAGTTTTTTAAATTATATGAGAAAAATATATACAATTTTCTTTGGAATGGCAAGCCAGACAAAATTAAACGGGCCTATTTACTGTATATAATTAATATGAATTCGGAGGACAGAAATTATTAAATATTAAAGCATTAGACCTATCACTAAAAACTTCAGTCATACAAAAGTTATACTTAAATCCGAACTGGTTCTCTAGCAAATTAGTAAGATTGTCTCACCCCATGATCAAGAATGTTCCTTTTCCCTTTATTCAGATCACTTTCAGTTATTTGAAAAGGAAATCATCTCCCAAATATCACTATTTCTAAAACAAGCCATAGAAAGTTGGTTGCAATTTCAATTGAATCCTCCAAAAATGACAGAACAAATATTGCAACAAATATTGTGGTTAAACTCAAATATACTAATTGATAAAAAATGTTTAAAAAAGGTATAATCTTCGTAAATGATATCATAGGTAGGACTGGTGGAGTTATGTTGCACATGCAGCTAACAAAAACATATGGAAATGTCTGCTCTACCCAAAATTACAATCAAATAACTGCAGCATTAAATAAAGTAACAGGGTTGCTATAAATCCCCTCGTGACAGTGGGAATGGAAGCTTGTTGTGTGGCAATTCAATGTAAGCCTGTCTATCTATGGGTTGACGTGTTATCCATTACTGCAAAAACACATGAATGTGAAGTGTTGTAAAAACACATGTTTTCATGCGAACACATGTGATGTTATGTGAAGTTAATGTGATAACGTGACAACATGTTAAGCAACATGTGATAACTTGAAACTACACATTTTAAGTGATCATGTGAAGTGTTCCAAAAACAAGTTTTCATCTGATTTCACGTGAAAATTTATGTGAAATCATGTGATTTTCCACATGTGAAATCATGTGGTTTTTCTGTAAAGGATGCTCGACCTGCTCAGTTTTCCACCACAAAACACCAGAAAATTGCCAAAAAAAGTAGAACCAGCTCACATGAATCTACGCTATGATTGGACTATTAGATGTTCATTGTTGTTTTTGAAAAATATATTTAAAAAGGAATAGTTTCACCATATTAAAACGAGTATTCAGTTCACATAACAGGGTTGACCTTAAAAAGAGGGACAGACATAAATTAATCACTAATCACATTAAATAAATAATCATCTTCAGAAATTATTTGGTCAAAGCAACAAAATAACTAGGGCTTTACAATGATGGTGAAACCTGGAGAAATGTTGGGATTAAGTGGGTTGAAATCTTCATAGGAAGTGACAAGTCAAAATGCTGAATTTTTGCACTTTAGCAAGCCTTTATTAATATATAAAATCTGATTTATTGTATTATCCATGTGGTCTATATTAAAGGGCACATAATTTAAAATAACAGGCTTTTAAAAATTTGCAATTTTGGTGTAAAATCTCTACTTAAAATAGGGAAGCAAAAGGCACTATTTTCGTGGAACGACTCTACTGGTCTCTTGCATGGAATTTTGTGAAATTAAGGACGTTCCTCCGTCGTCTAAAGAACTTCTGCCATATTCTTGGAAAGAGTTGACTACTTGCTCTATTTAGATTTTACAGATCGTCCATAGAGAGTTGCCCTGAGAGCTGGTCCTTGTTTGACTTTATCCAATCAAAGTGAGTGAGGCTTGGCTCATTGATGCTCTGGCTGATCTCACACCTGTGGCTCTTCTCGTCCCCTGTGTGCTCCTGATAAGTGAATGACTAGTGGCTGCACAATTCCTCCTTCCCCTCTCCTCTCCTCTCCTCACGTCAGTGGTTTTGGCCGACCCCCCGCCAACCCATGTGACAGGATACACATCGGCTGGATTTAGGGGACTGCATCCATGTCTCTGTGTCACTGTTCTTCCATGAGAGACACCTGAATACACCACAGCCAGATCCCTCTCTCCTCTCTGGACTGGACAGCTACTTTACACCACCTTTGAGCTCTGGGATAGCAAACTATGCACTAGCTATGATGGCATGCAGTCCATCCCTCGCTGTGCTCCTGTGCCTTATGCATGCTCTCTGCTGCGCTGCTGAGATAGGTATGTAGAGTTTTATTCCACTTTCTTTGGTTTCATGCAATGGTTAAGCATTCTGTATAATGAAAGTGATACAAATGATATTTGTTGATATGCTTTACCAATAAATGGAAGGCAAGGTTGAGGCTGCTAGAAAGTAACAATATTTATGTAGACTGGTAATGAATATATCCAGAATTTCTAGGTCCTTCAGTTAGTTTTGCTTCATTGGCAGATACTGCAAGATATATTGATGGAATCTTTTCCAGGAGTCACGAGTGAACCATTTGACAAGCTAGATAACTTTCAGAATATTTTAAGGCATTTTAGATGCTTTCAGATATAACAATTCAATTGGCCTATTTCTTTTAAAGTGGCCTAAAAACACATGTATTTAAATTGTAGTTACATACACTGTGAGTTCTTAAAAATTCTTGAAAATAATTTGAGTGCTGTAAACAGGTATAACAGCTGTAAGTTCATAAAATGAGTAAGTACAAAAAATATTTATATACACAACTTAATGTACAGTGGGACCTAAAATGTTTTTTTTATTTTTATTTTTTATTTATCTGCTAAATGGCATATTATTTATTACAGTTCCTGTACAATTAGACACAGTGTCTCAGTCACAGTTCAATAGCTTTGCAGTGCTGTTTATAAGAGCAGCTGTAGAGCCCTGAAAGAAGGATGAGACCTTGGATAGATCACATCATTGTCCTTAGTTTCAAGTTTCAATGTCACATGCACAAGTACAGTGAAATGCCTTGCTTGAAAGCTCTAACCCCAACAATGCAGTAATAAATAACAATGTAATACTAAAAATAACAAGGTAGAACAAAAACACACACATAAAAGTAAGAAATAAGAAGAACCTTTTCCCCCGTGCTGCAGACAGCAGCTCCTTCCTGATCTACAACCAGGATCACAACATGTGTGTGGTGGCGGTGAGTGCCAGTCAAGTCACGGTGGCTCCCTGTGACCACACGTCCCAGAACCAGCAGTTCCGCTGGGCCTCGCAGTCTCGTCTCCTCAGCATCTCCCTGAAGCTCTGCCTGGGGGCTCAGGACCTGAAGGACTGGGTCAAGGTGCTGCTCTTCCCCTGTGATGAGAAGAGTGAGCTCCAGCACTGGCAGTGTAAGAACGAGACCCTGTTCGGCCTCAAAGACAAGGCGCTGCACTTAAACTATGGCAACCGCAACGAGAAGAATATGATGATCTACCAGGGATCTGGGCCTTGGAGCCGGTGGAAGATGTATGGGACTCAGAAGGACCTCTGCTCCAAGGGCTACCAAGGTAAGGAAGCTACAAGACACACTCACTGTTACTGGAGGTTGGAGATTGGAGGTAGAAATCAGAAGTGTAAGATGCTTTCTTAAAGCCAGGGAATGAATGTCTGACCTTGGAAGAATCATACTGTTAACAAGGTATTTTTTTCCTACTAGCACTGACTGATAGCTGATAGCTACTTTATTAAGGAAGAATGTACTTACTATGATTGAGATACAGCATGTGGTTGTCCCACCTAGCTATCCTACGATGAATGCACTAACTGTAAGTCACTCTGGATAAGAGTATCTGCTAAATGACAAAAATGTAAAATGTAAATGTAACAAAACTGTTTTGTCCCCTTCTCCAGAGGTGTTCACACTAGGGGGGAATGCCTTTGGAAGCCCCTGCCAGTTCCCTTTTCAGTTTGGGGTGAAGTGGTACGCTGAGTGCACTCTGCAGGGGCGCTCAGACGGACAGCTCTGGTGCGCCACAGAGACAGATTACAATAAAGACAAGAAGTGGGGCTTCTGTCCCTCAAAATGTGAGTCAAGCCCTCACATTTCATGCTATGTTTTTTTTCATTTACTGCCATTTTCCAGTGATCAGGAAAAGGGTCAATAGGTGACACCTGTAGAAAATCATGAGCCGTATGTATCAAGCATCTCAGAGTAGGAGTGATGATTTAGGATCAGTTTTGCCTTTTAGATCAAAATGAGACAAAAATATTTGTATTTTATTTTATTTGCCTGTAAAAACAAGGGAAATGACCAGGGTTTAAGATGTGTTTATCAGTCTGAAATACCTGCATCAACAGAAATCAAAGCACTTTCGGGACGGCATCCAATTCAAACAATACTGTAAAACACCTTTCCAAGCCTGTGATAGGGACAGATTCCTACCCTCATTAAAACAGAGGTTACACATGGAATTCTTTGATTTTCCTGTTTTTCCGTGACCTCGCTGGAGGTGACGATTGGCCAGGTCAGCGCTGACGAGGTCTGGTCTCTGACCTCCTAACAGAAAAACACAAACGCTTCCTCTAGTTCCTCTAGCTGTGGACGCAGCTCTGTGTCTTTTTACCCTTCCATCCTGACTGGAGCTCATTCCTCTGTTTCCCCTGACACAGCTCCAAAACTGGGACAGGAAAAGGAAGGAAGCCCCCTTTCACTATAGTTCCTGGTGAACTGCCACAATAGTCACAGATATGGGAGGCAGTTCTATCATGATAGAAAGTGATAGAGATGGAACAGAACACTATTTGATTAAGTTCTTGGACTGTTATTGATGCTTTCTTTTTCCTGCCTTAAGTGTGCCCTAATGTTTCCGTGTCCCCCTCAGCGTCCTCAGGATGGGACAGTGACCCAGTGACAGGTGTTCTGTACCAGAGGAACACCCAGTCTGTGTTGACCTGGCACCAGGCGAGGAAGAGCTGCCAGCAGCAAGAAGCCGACCTGCTCAGTATAGTAGAGCTCCATGAGCAGACCTACATCTCAGGTATGTACAGTCAGACCTGGTCAGACCCACATCTGAGGTACAGTCTAACCTGTTGTCCAGGGGAGGACTGGGATCAGAAACCAGCCTAGGCACTTCTGACACACCGGCCTGAAGATGGACAAGGGCATTTGCCCAAAGTGCGCTATGGCCAGTCTAACCTACAACCTCACCTTGATTTAGCGATAAATCAATCTGAAACAAACAATTGCTTATTAAGAATATTACACTACTCTCGTGGACGTATTGTAATGCTTTTTATTGATGCAGGGTTGACCAATATCCTGGGCACATCTCTGTGGATTGGACTGAATAGCCTAGACTTTGAGGCTGGATGGCAGTGGAGCAATGGCAACCCATTCAGATATTTAAACTGGGCCCCAGGTGAGTGCAACTGCATGCAACACATCATCCTATACTTTACAGCCTAGGGAACAACTGAGGTTGTCCAAGTATGCTATGTGTTCCAATGGTGGAGGAAGACAATTAATAAATACATGGACATCATCAAAAGGACATCCATCAACTGAACCTGGGCTCAGCTGTGCAACCCTGAATGCTGGCAAGGCCTCGAAATGGGAGACCAATGAATGTTCCAAGAAGCTAGGATATATCTGTCGCAAAGGCAACTCAACAGCTCTGACCTCTGCCCGCATAGGTAAGAATTGAATCATACAGTACATTACAGTCATGAACGACACAAGATTATAACTTCTTTACCTAGTTCAAATGCCATGCAACACAAGGTTAACAACAACAGATCAGGTTGTGCAGGGTAGGGTAAACTGAACCATTATATATAAGGGCCAATATTCACTAAGTGTCTCAGAGTAGGAGTGCTGAACTAGTGTCAGTTTTGCCTTTAAGATTATAATGAATAAGATTACATGGGGGGGGGGGGCTGATTCTAGATCAGCACTCCTACTCCGAGATGCTTTATGAATACGGGCCCAGAGGTTGTGTGGGTCAAACCGATAAAACATTACAGTCTACCACTTTCTGAACTTTCTACCTTCTCTCGGACTATTGAACTTTGACCCCCCTCTGTAGGAAAAGATCAGCCCACCTTCTGCCCCAGTCACTGGATCCCCTATGCAGGCCACTGCTACTACCTGCAACGTACCAAGAAGATGTGGAGGGATGCCCTGGCCGCCTGCCACAAAGATGGAGGGGACCTGGCCAGCATCCACAACATAGAAGAACAGAGCTTCATCATCTCTCAGTCAGGATACAGTGAGTGCACAATCCATGTCGTAGCTACAATTACCTCTATATCTGATAGATCTGTTATGCACTACGAGGACCTTTCTTATGGGTCGTAATTTCTATCAGTTTTGAAAACCACTCTGAGATGTGTCCCAATAAATATCTGGGTATTTGGATTGACAAAGAATTGTTTAAAAAGCATACGGATGAGCTAGTTAAAAGCTAATATTTAAAGTGGGCTTATTTTTTAGAAATATATCTAGCTTCTCCCTAAATAGCAGGAAGCAGATTGTACCGTCAATATTCCTGCCAGTTCTTGACTATGGTGACAACATTTACCAGAATGCAGCAGCCACTACTCTTAAACCTTTGGATGCCGTCTACCATAGTGCCCTTCACTTTATCACAGGTGACAGTTTTAATACTCACCATTGCATCCTGTATCAAAACGTTGGCTGATCCTCATTGAAGTCCTATAGATCACTTCATTACTACCTTTTTATTTACAACGTTCTACTACACAAGCTTACAACTTACCTAACTTTGTTGCTAAAGTAAAAAAGAATGAGCGACCAAACCCGCTCACAGGGTTGGTTAACTCTTGAGGCCCCTCTGATCTCGACCTATTTTGGTAAATCCTCCTTTACCTTTAGTGCCCCCCATTGTTGGAATAACCTGCAAAATTCCTTGCATCTTGATTCCCTGGGGCCGCTAAAGCAGTTTAGGACTCTGGTGTTCAATTAATTCATTGAGAATTGCAGTTGTTTCGATTGATGTAATTTATTTGTTGAAATTGTAGTATTGTCATTGTACCTTGTAGTTTCTTTATTCTTCTTGTTTTATTTGGAATGTCAAATGTTTTTATTGTGAAAATCTTTGTACTCAGGGCACGATTGTGAATGAGACCCTGATCTCAATTGGGCTTCCCTGAATAAAGAATATTAATAATAATGTCACCTAAGTCAATTTGATCAGCCAAAGGCAACAATAAGTATATCAGGTGTTTTTCGCTGTCTTCCTGGCTCTGAGTCTTAATGTCCCTCTGCTTGACTTTAGCGGCCACAGATGAGCTGTGGATCGGCCTGAACGACCAGAGGAATGCGCTGCTGTTTGAGTGGACCGACCGATCCCATGTGACATTCAGCCACTGGCAGGCAGGGGAGCCCTCCCACGGTGCCAACCTCCAGGAGGACTGTGTCCTGATCAGAGGAAAGGTAATATTCACATTGGTCCCTCAAGGACAGACTAGGTTCATGATAATGCTAACACTAATGCTAGCTAAATGCTAACACCAAAGATTTTTTATAACTAACCATAACACTAGCTATATGCTAATGCTAGGTAAATGCTAACGCTAGGTAAATGCGAATGCTAGCTAAATGCTAGGGCTAACAGTGGCATTGATGACAACATTTAACAGTGGTGTCAATGAGGAACTAAATGTGGTATTGTGACAATGTGGACTCTCCATACACTCTCACAGGATGGGAAGTGGGCCGATAATTTGTGTGAGAAGACCTACGGGTACATCTGTAAGAAAAAGGCCTCCACCAAACCGGTGGCAGGTGCCCCAGAGGAAGATAGTCCAGGATGTAAGCTGGTGAGTGAGGTCATTTCCTGTTTGTTGAAAGGGAGGGTACAGTAAATAATGAATACAGAATGATATCACATAAAATGGAAGCTTGAAAATGATTCTAGAGAAGGACTACAATGGTGTCATCTTGACTGACAAAGATTCACCAGTTTGAGGATAATTGTTTCTGTATTTTTGTCATCAAGGGCTGGATCCGGTATGGTTCTTACTGCTACAACATTGGATCAGAAACCAAAACATTTGATGAGGCCAAGCAGACATGCCAGAAGAGTGACTCAAACCTGGTGGATGTGGCTGACAGGTACAGTATCACATCATGACTATCTTATAAGATAAGATATATTTGACTCACTTACTTGAGTCATATCCTGGACAAGATAATAACAATAAGTTGTCAGATAACAGATCGAATGTTTGTTGGTTTGTAGGTATGAAAATGCCTTCCTGGTCAGTTTGGTGGGTTTGAGACCAGAGAAGTACTTCTGGACTGGACTTTCCAACATGGCGGATGGAGACACGTTCAAGTGGATTACCAGTTCGGAGGTCAAGTTCACCCACTTCAATGTGGGCATGCCAGGTACAGTGTCCTTTTCCCAAAATGGTGACTGCATCGCAGTGCTAGCTGTGCCACTAGAGATCCTGGTTCGAATCCAGGCTCTGTCGTAGCCGGCCGCGACCGGGAGACCCATGGGGCGGCGCACAATTGGCCCAGCGTCATCCAGAATAGGTGGAGGGAATGGCCGGCAGGGATGTAGCTCAGTTGGTAGAGCATGGCGTTTGCAACGCCAGGGTTGTGGGTTCGATTCCCACGGGGGGCCAGTATGAAAAATAAAAAAATTATGTATGCACTCACTAACTGTAAGTCGCTCTGGAGCGTCTGCTAAATGACTAAAATGTAAATGTGATTGATTGTAGCAATTGATGATCGGTTGTAGCATGAACTGGCATTAGACGACTGCGGTATTAGAGTACCTTCTCCCACACCTTAACTGCCTGGCAAATGTCTGAACTAAATTAAACTACTCAATCTTCTCTCGTCTTTCTGTGTGTTTGAAAAAAGACAGAAAACAAGGCTGCGTCGCTATGACAACTGGAATGTTTGCGGGACTGTGGGATGTGGTCAGCTGCAGCAACAAGGAGAAGTACATCTGTAAGAAAATGGCGGAGGGCGTGACATCAACAATGGCCCCTCCCACCACACCGACACTGAGCTGTCCTTCTGGATGGTCACCTGCTGCTAAAAGGAATGTCTGTTACAAGGTACAATTGTTCTGTATGTGACACAAACACTTTGATCAGTGAATTGAAGTGAATAGTTTATTTATTTATTAATAATTTAATCAATGAGCAAGAATTCATTGATAATCCTTCATTATAATAATTCATTAATAATTCATCAATAATACTTTTCTCTCCCCTCAATAAGCTTTACAGAAAAGTGATAGAAAACAAGAAGACATGGTCAGAGGCGCAGGAATTCTGCAAGGCCATTGGTGGTGATCTGATGAGCATTCACAGTGCCACAGACCTGATCAGCTCTCCGTAAGTTATCCTCATAGCTGTCTCTGTTGCCATGAGTATCAGTGAAAACCAGTGTGGTCCTATTAACCACTGTCTGTGGTTGAAATCCACATGGTCATAATAACCACTGTCTGTGGTTCAAATCCACACGGTCATAATAACCACTGTCTGTGGTTTCCATTCGCTCTGTTTGTTCAGGTATCATTCCCCTGATACTGCCTGGATCGGCCTCAGCTCTCTGGATCCCAACGCAGGTTTTGTCTGGACTGACGGATCAGCAGTGAGTAGCCTACCACCTCATCTTTACTGTGATATCCCTTCTCCTTAGCAGTACTTTATTACACTCTACTCTTGTTTCAATCATTCATTTGGCATCATTGTCTTTAATGGGATTGAAAGTTCATACAGTACTATGGTGTCCATATAAAGACAGCCTCATGCTGAGACTGAGGCTGTCCTAATATGGACACAATACAGTGCTACTGTGTAACATTATTCCAATGTTGTTCTCCAGTTCAGCTATGATAATTGGGGATTTGGAGAACCAAACAACTACAATGATAATGAAAAATGCGCAGAGGTCCAGTTTTACTACGGACGCCACTGGAACGATCGACACTGTGACAGCTACAATGACTGGATTTGCGAGATCCGCAAAGGTACAGTAGACCATATCTGCTGGCACACTGACTTCACTAGGCACAGACGTCAATTCAACGTCTATTCAACGTTTCAGTGAAATGACGTGGAAACTACGTTGATTCAACCAGTGTGTGTGCCCAGTGGGCATGCAGTTCATGTCAGTAATGAAACTATTGATGAACATTGAATTGTTACCCTTAAACTTGCAGCTGTGCTCACCCAAACCTTTTTTGGTATCCACAGGGGTTACCCCAAAGCCCCCTCCCACTCAAGTTGTGCCAGGTAATGCACAGGATGTTGGGAATATGTTTCTCATTCCTCCACTTCCTGTCTCCACTTACTTCTTATTCCATCTCACTATCCCTGCTCTCCTTCAAGTTCTTGGCCTTTCCTTTCAGTTAAATTAATCACTGCACATACTGTATAGCATACCTTCATCTATCATTTAGTTTGCAAAGCATAGGTCAACACAAACACTAACAGAAAATACTCTTTAAAAATGTACTCTTAAAAATACCTAAGACAAAATTTACTCCTTATTAACTTGCCTTTGCAGTGTACAACACTACAAAGGACGGCTGGATTGAGTACAACGACACTCAGTATTTCTTCAACACTGAGAACCTCCCCATGGACGAGGCAAGAGCGTTCTGTAAAAATAACTTTGGTGACCTGGTGGTCATCACTGCAGAGAGCGAGAGGAAGTTTATATGGAAACAGGTAGAGACTTCTAATGCAGTCCAGTGACGTCCGAAAAGCTTTGGTTCTAGGAATCTGATAAAGAGATGATTTATGAACAGGATGACAAAAAGTGTCACTGAAATGTTCAAGGTTCAATCTAGAAATGTTTGTTTCCTCAAAGAGACGTCACTTTTTTTCCAGATATCCAGAGGTTCCGAGTCACAATACTACATTGGCATGACCGTTGGTTTGGATAAGTCTTTTAGGTACGTAAAATGACTGTTGACTGTTCCCTGGACATTTAAAACAACCTGAAGTCCTACCACCTCTTTTTAGAGATACTCGTGCATGAGCATGTTTTGTTTATCACAGTCCAGTGAACATGCCTGAGATCTGTGCTTCTCTGCAGAGTGGAGAAACGTGTGCTTTCCAGGTGTGTAGTTGATTGAATGGATGCTCACAGTTCAGACTGGGTTTGTGTACTGTATGTTTCAGCTGGTTGGATGGGTCTCCTGTTGTGTATACCGCGTGGGATCAAAACGAACCCAACTTCGCCAACAACGATGAGAACTGTGTGACGATATACAAGAGTATGGGTACGTCTGATTCCAGAGGGATCTGGGGGTGCAGTGGCATCAGCCTCCAAAGTAAAGGGATTTAGCTGTTATGCTGTCGTTACAGTGTCGTTACACTGCAACGTCCATGGGACTTTTGCTAACATTCAGGGGATGCTCCCAGGATGTCATTTTGTAAGCTGGGTCTATATCGGGTTGTGTCTTTTTGTATCTGTAGGGTACTGGAATGACATCAACTGTGGCATAGAGCTGTCCTCCATTTGTAAAAGAACCACCAGTTTCACTAACACAACCATGGCCCCCACCACTGTACCCAAGGGAGGTTGTGCCCCAGAATGGATCGCTTTCCAGGGCAAGGTAACTGCTACACTACTACAGTACAACCACCACATACTATAAAATCATACAAGGACATCCTATTGTAGGCTACATACACCTGTACGTTACACCAGAAGAGAAAACCACACACATACTACTTTCCTTATCATGTGTCAAGGACAAACTCAGGGCCCTAGTGATGACCCAATGTGATGCTGACCTGGGTGTAGAGAGTTGAGTCATTTTCTGCGTTCCAAATGGCATCCTATTCCCTTTATAGTGCCCTACTTTTGACCAGAGCCCATGCACTATAGAATCAATTTTGTTTGCTGTAGTAGTGTGTGCTGTTCCAACACACAGTGCTGATGCATCATGTTTCCACAGTGCTACAAATTCATTGGAGACAACGATAAGAAGCCGTGGCAGGAGGCCAGGACCTACTGCATCAACCAGGGAGGAAACCTGGCCTCTGTCCTCAGCGAGAAAGAGCAAGGTGGGTGAGAAGGCCATCCCTTTACAGCTCACTGCCAAAGCTACCTGAGACATTGGCATTGCCCAAGGTAGAATGAAATAGAATGAAAATTGCAATTCTCTACAAGTAATTTTGCATAAAATCATGCTGTTAATATTCTGTCAAATTTGGTGTGTAAAATTATAAAGCATGCAACAAGAAATCTTATAGACATTGGTTAACGAGTGCCAAATTAAAATGCTAGCCAATGGAACAGGGGTTGATAATCCTTTGCATGTAAACAGTATATCAGGAATCACCTGATGACTCTTCATTTTTCTGACTGGTCCTTTCCCAGCATTCCTTACCACCCAGATGCTTGAGAATCCCCAGGACATTTGGATAGGTCTGAACGACGTCAACTGGGAGATGCGCTTCCTATGGACGGAGGGGAAAGGTGTTTCCTATACCAATTGGGCAAAAGGGCATCCAACGTCAGTGCCAGACGGACGCTATTCATTTTTGGACGAGGTACAAGACTTACAGTAAATATAACTGCTGAACACAGATTAAGTGAATTCCTGGAAACAGATAAAACATTATTCTCAATAGACAATCTCCCTTGAAAGTTGGTAGACTAAAACCTACTTTCAAGGAAGATTCTTTACTGAGAATAATTTTTTATCCAGGACTACGCCTTATATCTGGGTTTGGGAAAACAGCCCTTTAAATGTTTGCTTTGAGACGTTGATTGACTTATTGTCAATAAGTGCAAATGCAATACAGCCTTAACCAGTCAAATTATAATTCAAAAGAGGGATCAAACCTTTTCATTTCCTTCCCAATCTCTCTTCCAGGTGTTTGACTGTGTGGTTCTGGTGGGCAGCTCTCACAAACAGACAGGAATGTGGAAGGTCGAGGACTGCTTAGTATCCCGTGGTTTCATCTGCAAAAGGAATATTGGTGAGAAGAAGCCATAGTTCAGTGAGGCTGCTCTAGGGTTGCAAAAATTCCAGTAACTTTCCCAAAATCCCCAGGTTTTCCAGAAATAAGTGAATCCTCCAACCAGCATATCTGGAGAACCTGCCAATTTTGGAAAAGTTATCGGCAACCCTAGTGAGGCTGTTCACTTCCAATTAATGGGTATGTGGTCCAATAGAGTATCCCTCTTTAGGTTCCCCTCCAACAACAAGTCTCCTTTGGTTTCAGATTCTCAGATTGTGGTCCCCGCCACCACAGTGTCAACAAAGACGTTCTACAAGCTGGGAAATGACTCCTTCAAACTAGTGGTCCAGAAGATGAACTGGGACGAGGCCCGGAGGCAATGTAAAGCAGACGATGCAGAGATGGCTAGCATCCTGAACCCCATCACCCAGGCCTTCATCACAATGCAGATCCACAAATACAATGAGCCCGTGTGGATCGGCCTCAACAACAACTTGGTAAAAGGCTACAGTATTGACATTGCTTTATGCCAATCATTTGGGATACAGAGACTAAAAATTCTAAACAATATGTTGATCACACAAATTCTAAATATGGAGCTTTGTGATCTTCAATTTCCTCATTACAAGGCCCAGCAGTTAATAAATGACCTAATGTGTATGACTCTGGCTTTGGTTTAAGAGCTAGTACAGCTCCAAAGAGGACTTAGCATTGAGATGATCTCCCACTGTTATCCATGGGATCTCCTACTCTGACGTGTTCATTTAAGAAACAAAAGCGGTTTTGTGTTTGTAAACCTGTGAGCTTTCGGCTGGACCTTGCCCCCATTGTGTGTTTCCGTCATTGTCTTTGTCTCTGTCTCTCAGACTGAAGGGCGTTTTAAGTGGGTGGATAACTGGCCTCTATCTTACACCAAATGGGGCGAAGACGAGCCAAAGAACAATATGGCCTGTGTTTACATGGACACAGACTCCAAGTGGAAGACAGGCGACTGTAGTAACACCTATTCCTCACTGTGCAAGAGATCACCAGGTCAGACAAGGCCTTTAATCCATTTACCCACAATGTCTATGTTTAATAGTTGATAAATCCCTTTTTAAAATGGCTTTTAGAAAAAAAATTGTATGCAGTAATGTATCAATTTTACCGACATTGAACATGTATGTCTCATGTATATTAACTTCAGTACATGTGAACTTCTCTGGCCTCTTTTACAGACATAGCCCCCAGCCAGCCCCCTCAGCTCCCTGGCAACTGCCCCGAGCCCAAGAAACGCAAGACGTGGGTTCCCTTCAGGGGTTACTGCTACGCCTTCCTCAACTCTGTGGTGGACAACTGGGCCCACGCCACTGTGGAATGTCTCCGAATGGGTACACACTTCACCTCCTTCTCACCAACTGTCATTCAGACCACAATGGTCCCAAACGGCACGCTATTCCATGGTCAAAAAGTAGTGCACTATATAGGAAATGGGGTGCTATTTGGGACATACCCAATGTCTTAATTGAATGTAGAGCACATGAACTCATTAATTGAATGAAAGACATTCAAAGTGATTGATGGTGATGATGATGAATATGGGTTGTAAGAGCCTGTTTCTCTGACAACAGGAGCATCCCTGGTGAGTATCGAGGATCCCTTGGAGGCCAGCTTCATCCAGGAGAACCTTGAGCTACTGCAGGATGGATCCAAGTCCTTCTGGATTGGCATGCACAAGAGCCACGAAGGTCAGTACCTATGGTTACAAAATTCCAGTAAATGTCCCCAAATTCCCTACCAGGATTTCTGGAAAACCAAGGAATTTCTGAAAAATTACCGTAATTTTGCAACCCTATCAGTATATTTTACAGACAACCCATAACATTAAGGAGGCCACTGGCTCAAAAAGCCTGTTCCCTCTAACATTTTAAACTTGCTACATCACTTTGAATGAATACATGGCAAGTATAGTACCTACCTGTCTCTTGCAATTCTAAGATTATGTCCCAATTTCACAACCATGTTTATTGATTTATAGTTGTTCAATGACAATGAATCACCCATATCAAAGGATATTGGTTTGACCCAATGTTCTTGTTTCAGGTGACTGGATGTGGATTGACAACAGTGTGGTGGACTACACCAACTGGAAACAGGGGATGCCAAAGAGTGGAGAACACTGTGTGGAGATCCAGTCTGATAGCGGTCTGTGGAGCACCAACAGCTGCAACCGGTACAAGTCGTACATCTGCAAAACAGCCAAAGGTGAGCTGCACTCAGCAGATAGATTCAAGTATTTAAGATGGGATGATAGCAGAGTCATTATTCAAGTCATCCTGTGTTTGTTGTGTCAGCTTAGAATTGTCTTGCATTTATGTTTTCTGAACATCTTTATCTCCTTCTTTTGCAGTCATCACACCAACAGAGAAGCAACCAGTTGCTGGTGAGTGTCTCATAGCAGATATAATTGGTTAAAGAACAATACATTTTATAGTTTTGACAATCAAATCAATGCTTTTCTGGCTCCAGGGTACAGATCTAGGATCAGCTTCCCCTCACCAATCCGTAACCATTAGTGGGGAAAATGCAAAATAGACCCAAGATCAGCGTCTAGGGGCAACTTCACTCTACTCCGCTTTTCTTAACATTATACCATTTATATCTAAAACCAATCCCACCAATAATTTTGCCAATAACACTTTGACTTCCTGTCTTCTAGCTCCCCTAGTGGAGGAAGCTCCCCATGGTTACGCCGGCATCGCTGTGGCCGTTGTCTTGGTGATAATTACAGTGGTAGGACTCGGTGCCTTCCTACTCCGCAAACGGATACCTACCCCCGTCCTGGGAGAGTGTACATTCGACAACACCTTGTACTTCAACAACCCCATCCGCCAAACAGCCACTGTGGACACCAAGGGCCTGGTGGCCAACATCGAGCAGAACGAAACAGCTTAGATAGGACACAAAGAACCACCAACAGGTGAAAACACTTTTGAGACAAGTTTTAATATGAAAAATACCAAAAAAGCATGCTGCTAGTGTTTAGGCCAACCAACTCTGACCAACTCTGACCCAAACTGAGAGACTGCAACTAAATCTGAAACCATTCACCTGTTATCTTTGTTTGTTTTCTTGCTTGGTAAATAATGTGTGAAAATGATATGCACTTTGTGCATGTCAGCATCAGTTGTCAAGGATAAAGTCCAGATGTACAGCTAAGATTGCATATGCAACCCCTGCACAAATTGTAGAATCAACAACAGTCATTTTGTTTGGTTTAATTGAGTCTTGTACAGATTGATTTGGTGTGTGAAACTGAAGTTCAAAATACAGCCACTGTACTTTACTTTGTTTTTGCCAAGTTATATTGTAAATATATGCTCAAAACGAGAGAGAAATAAAGTTTTGAAACAAATGTCTTTGGCCTTATACTCTTACTCACACTACTCACACATTGCATGCTAAATCAATATATACTGAATCCATTGGCATTTAGGGGGTTAATACAACATTTATGGTCTATAGAACTACAGTGCCTTGCAAAAGTATTCATCCCCCTTGGCGTTTTTCCTATTCTGTTGCATTACAACCTGTAATTTAAATGGATTTTTATTTGGATTTCACGTAATGGACATACACAAAATAGTCCAAATTGGTGAAGTGAAATGAAAAAAATAACTATTTTCAAAAAATTCTAAAAAATAAATAACGGAAAAGTGATGCGTGCATAAGTATTCACCCCCTTTGCTATGAAGCCCCTAAATAAGATCTGGCGCAACCAATTACCTTCAGAAGTCACATAATTAGTTAAGTAAAGTCCACCTGTTCTGAAAGGCCCCAGAGTCTGCAACACCAATAAGCAAGGGGCACCACCAAGCAAGCGGCACCATGAAGACCAAAGAGCTCTCCAAACAGGTCAGGGACAAAGTACAGATCAGGCTTGGGTTATAAAATAATATCCGAAACTTTGAACATCCCACGGAGCACCATTAAATCCATTATAAAAAATTTAAAGAATATGGCACCACAACAAACCTGCTAAGAGAGGGCCGCCCACCAAAACTCACGGACCAGGCAAGGAGGGCATTAATCAGAGAGGCAACAAAGAGACCAAAGATAACCCTGAAGGAGCTGCAAAGCTCCACAGCGGAGATTGGAGTATCTGTCCATAGGACCACTTTAAGCCGAACACTCCACAGAGCTGGGCTTTACAGAAGAGTGGCCAGAAAAAAGCCATTGCTTAAAAAAATTAGCAAACACGTTTGGTGTTCGCCAAAAGCCATGTGGGAGACTCCCCAAACATATGGAAGAAGGTACTCTGGTCAGATGAGACTAAACTTGAGCTTTTTGCCATCAAGGAAAATGTCAGGCGCAAACCCAACACCTCTCATCACCCCGAGAACACCATCCCCACAGTGAAGCATGGTGGTGGCAGCATCATGCTGTGGGGATGTTTTTCATCGGCAGGGACTGGGAAACTGGTCAGGGAAATTCTTGAGGGAAACCTGTTTCAGTCTTCCAGAGATTTGAGACTGGGACGGAGGTTCACCTTCCAGCAGGACAATGACCCTAAGCATACTGCTAAAGCAACACTCGAGTGGCCGGCCGGGACCGGTAGACCCATGGGGCAGCGCACAATTGGCCCAGCATCGTCCAGGGTAGGGGAGGGAATGGCCGGCAGGGATGTAGCTCAGTTGGTAGAGCATGGCGTTTGCAACGCCAGTGTTGTGTGTTCGTTTCCCACGGGGGGCCAGTATGATTTTTTTAAATATATATATTTCTTTTCTTCTCATATATATATATATAATGTATGCACTCACTAACTGTAAGTCGCTCTGGATAAGAGCGTCTGCTAAATGACTAAAATGTAAATGTTTAAGGGGAAACATTTAAATGTCTTGGAATGACAGACGCTAAAAAAAAAAGAAACGTATGCATTCACTAACTGTAAGTCACTCTGGAGAAGAGCATCTGCTAAATGACTAAAATGTAAATGTAAAAATGAATGGCCTAGTCAAAGCCCAGACCGCAATCCAATTGAGAATCTGTGGTATGACTTAAAGATTGCTGTACACCAGTGGAACCCATCCAACTTGAAGGAGCTGGAACAGTTTTGCCTTGAAGAATGGGCAAAAGTCCCAGTGGCTAGATGTGTCAAGCTTATAGAGACATACCCCAAGAGACTTGCAGCTGTAATTGCTGCAAAAGGTGGCTATACAAAGTATTGACTTTGGGTGGGGTGAATAGTTATGCACGCTCAAGTTTTCTGTTTTTTTGTCTTCTTTCTTGTTTGTTTTGCAAAAAAAAATATTTTGCATCTTCAAAGTGGTAGGCATGTTGTGTAAATCAAATGATACAAACCCCCAAAAAATCAATTTTAATTCCAGGCTGTAAGGCAACAAAATAAGAAAAATGCCAAGGGGGTGAATACTTTCGCAAGCCACTGTATATACAGTATTTGATGTCCACTTAAACACAGTTTCATCACTATGAGGCAGATTAAAGAGGTTATTGGGTCGTTCCACCAATTCAGTGACTTTTAAGAAGTGTGACTTGGTCCCAAAAAGAAACGTTTGATTTCACCTAATTTTAACATTCTGTCATAAAGAGCACATGATCAACAACATAAAAAACATATTTTCCCATCTCAAGAGGTAAATAAAATAAAAACTTACTACGGGTTGACGATTTTTTCATTTTAAATCAGCCATAAATCCCCTCCTGACAGGGGAATCCAAGCTAACAATTAAAGGGAGAGAGAACGTTTTTGTAATGTTACCCGTAATGTTCCCCAGATGTTTGAGTGTCCAGTTTTCCGTTAGTTAGGGGAACATTCTATGTACAGTGTCTTCAGAAAGTATTCACACCCCTTGACTTTTTCCACATTTTGTTGTGTTACAGCCTCAATTTAAAATGGATGAAATGTAGATTTTGTGTCACTGGCCTACACACAATACCCAAAATACTAAATTAATACTGCAAAAAATGTGCCAAAGAAACGGAATGGAATTAAGTACAGGCAAATTCCTAGAGGAAAACCTGGTTCAGTCTGCTTTCCACCAGACAATGGGAGATGAAATCACCTTTCAGCAGGACAATAACCTAAAAGGCCAAATCTACACTGGAAGAAATGGCACTAGAGGGGATGGCTGCCGTTTTAAGGGCTCCTAACCAATTTTGCTATTGTGTGTGTTTTTTGTAATTTTTTTGTAACTTACATAATGTTGATGCTACCGTCTCTTATGGCCGAAAAGGAAATACAGGGGGCGGAGATCAGGATGCCTTGTGAGAATTCGTAGGCGAGTGGGTAACCCGCCTCTACCATCCATTCTATTAGCCAACGTGCAATCACTGGAGAATAAACTGGATGAGCTCCATTTGACACTATCCTACCAACGCAACATTAAAAACTGTAATATCTTATGTTTCACTGAGTCGTGGCTGAACGACGACACAGATAATATACAGTTGGCTGGGTTTTCCGTGCATCGGCAGGACAGAACAGCTACGTGTGGTAAAACGAGGGGTGGGGGTGTGTGTCTATTTGTCAATAACAGCTGGTGCACGATGTCTAATATTAAGGTAGTCTCGAGGTATTGCTCACCTGAGGTAGAGTACCTCATGATAAGCTCTAGACCACACCAAGAGTACTTACTGTATGTAAATGAGACATTTCTGTATTTCATTTTCAATACATTTGCAAAAATTTCTAAAAACATTTACCAAGAGAGTGTTCGTCTATATTGTAGCCATCTATTTACCACCACAAACCGACGCTGGCACTAAGACCGCACTCAATGAGCTGTATAGTGCCATAAGCAAACAAGAAAATGCTCATTCAGAAGCGACGCTCCTAGTGGCCGGGGACTTTAATGCAGGCAAACTTAAATCCGTTTTACCTAATTTTTACCAGCATGTGCAACCAGAGGAAAAAAAAACTCTAGACCACCTTTACTCCACACACAGAGACACGTACAACGCTCTCCCTCGCCCTCCATTTGGAAAATCTGACCATAGTCCTATCCTCCTGATTCCTGCTTACAAGCAAAAACTAAAGCAGGAAGTACCAGTGACTCGCTCAATACAGAAGTGGTCAGATGACACGGATGCTACGCTACAGGACTGTTTTGCTAGCACAGACTGTAATATGTTTCGGGATTCATCCAATGGCATTGAGGAGTATATCACCTCAGTCATCGGCTTAATCAATAAGTGCATCGACAATGTCATCCCCACAGTGTCACGCCCTGGCTCTGGGGACTCTAATATGTTGAGCCAGGGTGTGTAAAGTCTATGTGTGTTGTTGTAGGTTTCACATTCGGGTATTGTGGTTCTATGTTGGCCAGTGTGGTTCTCAATCAGAGGCAACGTGATTCAGCTGTTGCTTGTTGTCTCTGATTGAGAACCATACTTTAGCAGCCTGTTTCCCCACAGAGTTTGTGGGATCTTGTTTCGAGTCTGTTGTGTTAGACCGTGAACTGTCACGTTTTCGTTTTGTGGTTTTTGATCGTGTCTCTAATAAAGAGTATGTTTGCCTGCAACGCTGCGCCTTGGTCCTCATCTCTGTTCGACGAGCGTGACAGAAGATCCCACCAAGACTGGACCAAGCAGCAAGTCCAGGAGCCAGCGCCTGAGAGATCTCTAGCGGATCTCCTTCGCCTCCTCGACTGGGTCAAGCCATGTGAGGAAGAGAGGGGCTTGACGTGGAGGCAGAAGGGCGAAAGGCTGGCGAGGAGCATGGAGACCTGGTCCACGGGTAGGAGTGAAGCCCATACATTTTTTAGGGGGGGGCTAACGCCGTGGACGACGGGGCAGCAGGAGGCCGCCAGGTTACGGGAGTCACTGGTCACCAGGGGGAAGGAGGATGTAGAGGCACGGCGAGAGGTACTGGCGTGTGTTGCCAGTCCGGTCCGGCCTGTTCCTGATCCCCACGTAGGGCCAGTGGGGTGTGTTCCCAGTACGGTCCGGCCTGTTCCTGCCACTCGCACCAAGTCTACGGTGCGCGTCGCCAGCTCGGCCCGGCCTGTTCCTGCTCCCCGCACCAAGTCTGTGGTGCGCGTCGCCAGCCCAGTCCGGCCCATTCCTGCTCCCCGCACCAAGTCAGTGGTGCGTTTCGTCAGCCCTGTCCGGCCCGTTCCTGCTCCCCGCACCAAGTCAGTGGTGCGCGTCGTCAGCCCGGTCCGGCCCATTCCTGCTCCCCGCACCAAGTCAGTGGTGCGTTTCGTCAGCCCAGCTCGGCCCGTTCCTGCTCCCCGCACCAAGTCAGTGGTGCGCTTCGTCAGCCCGGCACGGCCCGTTCCTGCTCCCCGCACCAAGTCAGTGGTGCGCTTCGTCAGCCCGGTCCGGCCCGCTCCTGCTCCCCGCACCAAGTCAGTGGTGCGTTTCGTCAGCCCGGCTC